GAACACCGGGTACATCCAATTTCTTTTGTCTCATGTAATCGTCTGTTGGATCCTCAACTATCAATACACCTCTACGAGGAAGCAACACCCCCAGCACAACAACATCAAGCTCCACATAGCCAATGTAAGGTATTTTTAATCCATTTGCTGCCTTTAAACCCAGCCAACCACAGTCCTTTAAATCTTTGTCAGACAAATGGGGAAAAATTGTTTTTGAAAAAACTTTCTGCTACAGTGGTTACCATGGAGCCACTGTCCAACAAACAATTTATCCTCACTCCAGCAAAATCCACCTCCCCCTGCAGACACTCCCCAACTAGATTACATACACTTGATTTGTCGATGGAGCCACAAAAACTGCCCACCAATGTTTGGCTCTGCACACTGGCGGGTTCTAGTTTTCCGCTTGCTTAGAAGGAATAGCTTGTTCAGGCTCAGTATTAACAGTAGCAGTACAATTTCTGACAATGTGCCCACTCTGTTCACATCTGAAACAAATTGGTTTTCCATCAGCAGTTCGTCTAACACGAAAATTGCGAGTTCTAGGGGGAGGTAAAGTTTGATGAGTCAGAGCCTTCATGACCAGTTCTAATTGGGCCTGCTGAGCTCTCAACAAAGAGACCAGCTCCCCATACTCGGAAGGGTGGGAAACAGAACTCTCACAAGAGGCAGACATTACATTGAGAACTGGACTGTTAGGTTTGTGTTTAGACGACTGATGTTCATGTTGCGCCATCCACCTAGTGGCCTCCCCTCTAACATCACGAATGGTCCATTCTGGATTAACCTGAATCAAATCTTTCAGTCTCATTCTGAGAGCCTGTTCCCTCACACCATCACAGAACTGGTCACGCAGGTCTTTAGAAGAGTTCAAGACTGCTTGTACATCATTTTTTATTATCTGATCCATCAAGTCCATAAGCGCATGGGAATAGTCAATCAATGACTCCCCTTCAAGTTGCCTACGGTTAAAGAATCTACGCTGTAGTGAAATTCTTGAATGCATACAACCATAAACATCTTTAAGAACACGAAAAATACATTCCACATTCTCCTTTTGGGCTACTGGTAAGAATTTAATTTCAGTCCGGGCAACGCCCTCTAGATGTTCGTAGATAATCTGCGCCCGTTCCTTTTCTGTGTTCCCTCTTATTTGCACATAGTCTCTCATCAGTTCGATCCATTCTTCCAACGTCAGCGACTCTGCACTATCCAGTTTCCCAGAAAATAGTGGCAGTTTCTTGTCCTGCTGTACTTAAATAACAGGATTGTGCCTTACAGTTTCTGCAGCTCCTGAAGATGTTGCTGGCATTTCTGAGTCCAAGCCCACTGCTGTTATGGCCGCCAGTTGGCGTTCAAAATCCTTTATCCGCTGCGACATGGCCTGCTTATCAAGCTTATCCCCAGCTCCAACGTCACTGGATACATCCATGTTGAGGTCTTCTCACCCGCAGATTTTCTCACCAAGCTGCCCCTGCTGTCCTCTTTAACTTAAAACACAACAACTCAAAACCAAAACAAAAAAAACACTTCCCGTACTTGTTTACCAGCAACGCAAAATGTTACAGGTCCGATTGGGTTTTTTCCTGTTAATACAACTTTAATTCTACACAACACAGACTTATGGTTGCTGTGTTCAAGAGGAAAAGAAAACTGAAGCAGAGTTAATTTTCCAATCTTTATTGTATATAAATAAAATACAACTATCTAAACTTTAATAGAAATAGTAACATACAGGAAGTGAAAAGAAACTAACAAAATAAATGGAAAGTTGTTAGTCCACCCTCACAGGTACTCAAACAATTCAACCTGAGCGGACTAACAAAAATAACCAAAAGGGGGGGAAAAAAAATCAAACTTTAAAGGACAGCAGGAAGCAGTTACAACCCTGTCAAAACAAAAATACAAATTACTAAATGCTCTTTAAAACACTCAAAAAAGTACAACAATATTAAAACACTGCTTACCTGCATCACTTAAAACAGTAAATGTAAAAGCTAAAAGCCTACCTGTGGCGTTGAACAATCACACGCCCTGGTAAAATTACTGCCAGAACACCAATAATGCAGACCTGTATAAAAAACACCAAATCACCACCAACTTATTGCAGAGGATAAACTCAAAACACAATTCACCTCCCAACATACCCCAGCCAGCCAGCCAACAGCATGGATCCACCACACCCCTGGTCCCAGACACAGGAAGTTAACTTCTGGCTACTACCCTTCCTGCTTCCCCTTTTATAGAAGCTCAGGCTAAGGAGAGTGACACCTACTGGTGCCACCTGTTACAAACATATTTGTAATGAATCAGGAGAAGTTTAGAAATAAAATATTTTTTTCCGTAGATAACCTTGAGCGTCATCAAAATGCCGTGACCCGGATTCGAACCGGGGTTGCTGCGGCCACAACGCAGAGTACTAACCACTATACGATCACGGCGAGCTAGCCAGGACTGGTGCAGAGGTGGCAATCTTTTTCTAGAAGAACAAACAACTCACGATTCTGTACTGCGATAGGTTGAATTGTGGTTAAATGTGGTCAAAGTATACGTGCAAGCTGTCAGGGACCTAACATTGGGCCTGTAATTCCGGGGTTAAGGTGCCTATTTATCTGTTTGATCATTAATAAAAAAAAAATATTAAAAAAAGGATTCTTTCATTGTTTCATTGTCTTTCCTGTTTTCTTTGTTAATTACTATGATTTATTTCCTGTACCTTTAAACAGTTTTTAAGGGTAGGCTTAAAACTTTTCTTTTTGATAAAGCTTATAGTTAGAGTGGATCAGGATATCCTGAGCTATCTCTATAGTCATGCTGTTATAGGCTTAGACTTCTGGAGTCATAGAGACCCCTGTTTCATCATCCTATTTGTTCAATCTCTAACATTATGCTCTCTCTGCTTTTTCTCATAATAGCTTTACCTTGTAGGTTCCTGTTTGGAGTGACACATTCAGCTGTGCTGCTGCCATAAACACCTTTGTTTATAGGTGTTCAAGAAAAAAAGGATTATTTCATTGTAATTTACTTTCCTGTTTTCTTTTATTTACTTTGTATTTACTTTGACGGCTTTCCATTTGATGTCAGTTCCACAGTTGAGAAAAACGCAAACTTTTTTTTTTCACATTATTTTGAAAGTGCTTTACATTTTTATTATGTATTTTCCAACATACAAAACTACCCCATTTTTCCTCTGTGTGTGCACCGATTCATATTTAGTTACTTTAACACAATTGCATATGTTAGTAGGGTAGGACTTATAACAATTGTGTTGAAGTTTCTAAATACCGTATGATTAGCTAAATGCCAGAAGTTGTTGCATTATTTTTTTCACTGTGCCAAATATATGAATAAAATATATCACATTGCAGTCTGTTGTTCTCTAAGCATCTAAATTTTTTATGTAATATTTACTAATATGTTTTTTTCTTTAGAAAAATTATATTTTAACTTGATGTTTTTTAAATATAGCAGAGATCCTGGACCTTGCTTTGATTCTCATCTTTTTTCCTGTTATAAGTACTAATATTACATTTACTAACAGGCTAATTGACTGGCACAATGGTTTTTAACTTTCTTCTTGAGTGAATCAGTGTACTGGTTTAGTACATGTAGTTTATATAACATTACATGTTACAGGTATTATCCAGAGAAATAAAATTGTTTTACTTGTTAATGGTACACTTAAGGTTAATTTCTGGGATTTGTTTCCTGTACCTTTAAACAATTTTCAAGGGTAGGCTTAAAACTTTTCTTTTTGATAAAGCTTATAGTTAGAGTGGCTCAGGTTATCCTAAGCTATCTCTATAGTTATGCTGCTATAGGCTTAGACTTCTGGAAGACATAGGGATCCCTGTTTCATTGTTCATTTCCTGGATGGTGCCGCCTTTTACAGCTGCTTTTTGTATCTCTGCTTCTGTCTCCTTGAACCCCAGTCGGCCTCGGCAAATGGCTGCTGACACTGAGCCTGGTTCTGCTGGAGGTTTTTTCTTGTTAAAGGGGAGTTTTTCCCTCTCCACTGTCACTACAAGCATCGTTCATTTCCTGGATGGTGCCGCCTTTTACAGCTGCTTTTTGTATCTCTGCTTCTGTCTCCTTGAACCCCAGTCGGCCTCGGCAAATGGCTGCTGACACTGAGCCTGGTTCTGCTGGAGGTTTTTTCTTGTTAAAGGGGAGTTTTTCCTCTCCACTGTCGCTACAAGCATGCTTAGTGTGAGGGATTGCATTCGAGTCAATGAGTCGATTCAATCAACTGGTTTTCCTTAGATAGAAAACTTTGAATCAATTTGACTGTATGAACTGGTGAACTGTAAAGTGCCTTGCTGAACTCTACAGCTCCTCCAGAGTTGCAATAAGTCTCTACATTTTGTTTAGATGAGTAATTGAACAGCACAATTCCCTGTATTACACTGCCCTGTTTAATCCCTGACCTGTCTGGAGTTTACCTTCTTCTTCATAAAGTTTATTCCCTAATACCTTTTTATCAAACCTGTAAAAAAAACAGTGCAGCTGAATGTATCTCATATTTAAATCATATCCAGATGGAGAATTTTCTAATATACTGTAATAACCAGATCTTATTTAAAACAACACAGGGAATGGGGAAGGACAACAAATACCCATCACACTTTTTTCAGATCATTAAAATCATAGAAAAAAATATTATTATATGGTTTGATTGTGTTGAAATGTAAGCTTAAGGTGCTTTAATGTTTTTGCAAGAAACTACAATATGTGGTGAAATTTTAATTTATAAATATATACCACAATGACTCCATGCATAAAATGGGCCTTCCACAGAATAAAGCGAAGCATACCAATTTTTCTGTTGAAAAAAATTGTCAAATATTTTACATTTGTAAAAATATTAGCATTCTGCTTTTGTGCTGCTATTCTGAAGGAGAAACTTGGTTTAGACTTCCTCTATTATTTAAATGCTTAGAGCCATTAACTACCAAATTAAATGAAGAATCTTAATGCTAAACAAAAATTGCACCATTTGGTTTTATTTTTAAACAAAGCTTTATATCACATATGTTTGAAAGCTTGACAATACAGAGAAGAAAGTAGTTCTGTTGATTAGATAAATTATTAAAGTAATGTCTTCAATAGGCCAGCCAGCTTGCCACTGAAAAGTGTTATTCACATAAAAAAAACATTAAAAGTATACCACAGTTTTAATTCTACACAATGTTTACGTATTTTTTCATTTACTTTTTTTAATGAAAAATAACATAAGCAGAGTATCAGTCTTCTCAATCCACCTATTATCATCAATCAAAGACAAGGTGCATAATCAAATGCTGTAAAAACAAACAGAAATAAATAATTAAGTCCCTTTTCCTTTTACTTATAAGGTCGGAAATCTTGCGCCTCAGTCTCATCGTTCTCTTCAGGTTCGTTGCAGTGTGTAGTTGCTTTTTTAGCAGCGCATTCGGCCTTTCTGGTGAAATGTCGATGTGGAGCCGCCAGAGTCTGATGCTGTTGTGATTTCCTGTGTGAAAAGTTGCTCATGCTTTGAGCGGTAGCACCTTCAGTTTTTTTGTCTTTTGCTGCACGGTTCTCTCTGTACACATTACAGGATGCCACCAGAGGCATTCCAATGTCCACCTGCAGGCTCTCAGTACGCCGCAGATTACTGTCCTTTTGAGTATAGTGTAAATCCACCTTGATTACTACCGATCCCTGAAAATAAATAAATAAAAAAATATATTAAAATTAATTTTTTTTAAAAAGGTCCCATTTACAGAAAACCAAAGAATATTATTAACTACATACCTTCAATCTCTGGAGAGAGCAAAGTCTTAGAGTGCAGTCAGAGTTTTGCGTTTCATTAAATAGTAGTGAGTCCATATCCTCAGAGCAACCAGGCCTGGAGAATATGTCTTCCATAGACTAAGGAGTCAAATCATAAACATTTTGATCAGTATGACTCAAATATTATACATTGTTATCACAAATAATAACTACATTGACATGTTTTTTTTTCTTCCACACTGTTTGCATTTGATCACTGCTGCACTTTAAGTAATGGAAATGAGAGCTGTACAAAACGAAATTAAATAAAAGTTGTCTTATATAGCGCCACATAACTGCTGGCAAGCTATAATAACACAAACCACAAGATGGCAGTATAGTAAGAGATTATGTAGTCAGACAAACATGTATTGTGTAAGAGGAGCTCGTCACACTCTTTTAATTTCCTGCTTTGTCATGGGTTGCGCCATGCTGGAAGTCCATATTTGGTGAAAACTTCCTCATACATGGAAGGTGGGGGTGTTAGTGGTCATTATAGACACCCGCAGTGGAAACTGACTGCATTCCATCACGGCCAACGCAGAATTTTCCCAAATACAACTCACATGGTTGATTTAAAACACAAAGTTGAGAAAAGGATCTTTAAATTAATTCTTCCGATTAAAGACAGGAGGAAAGTAATGCATATCTACAGTTTAAATGTGTGCCCATTACACATTTATTTATGTTGCATCCCTTGTTCAGTTTTTGGGTCAATCCTTTTACAGCATTGAAGACAGTTAAGTGGGATATAAAATATTTGATTGTTTAAGTATAAAGTAAATACTTACAGGATTGCTTCTTAGCATAACGGTACAGTCCTGAGTTTGGGCAGGTGTAGTTTTTACAGTTGCAAAAGCCACCAGTACATTAGAGAACAAAGCTGAGAAGCTGACTTCCACCTCCACACCACATGGAAACGTCAACTGCTTCTTTCGTGGCAGCTCTGAAAGAAGAAATGAAAGCCTTTCATATATAATGTAGATATACCCACACACAACTTGTTTTAATGACATATGGGGACATTTCATTTACTTATATTCATATTATATGGCCTAACCTAGACCCTTACCCGAACTGAATTCACACCTAAGTCCTAAACTAAACCCCAACTTTACCCTATGGGGACCAGATGAACTTCCCCATATGTACCAGTAAGTCCCCACAATGTAGGATATTTTACAAAACACTGCCACCACATTATCGGTAATAAAAGACCATATATTTATGCATGCACCCAAATAAATATACATATCCATATAAATTGCAGACTTAAGCTATAGTCATTTCAGAATTCGTGATAAAACAGAAGTCTGGTATGTTAAGAATAGCCTCATTCTAGATTGAAATGAAAATACACATTTCACACTGAATCGGTTCCTTGTTTTGATTTATCAAAAATAATAACAGGCCTTTTTTTTTATGCTTCTGAAAATATCTGAAACCACATTGTCTCTAAATGGGTTTTCACAAACTGTAGCGTAGGAGGTGCAAAGATCACCGACCAATACAATTACAATTCCCCTCCTGTATTCACACAAGAAGGGTAATAGGTTAGTTTAAACTCTGTTCAGCTTTGGCTGCAGGTACTAGTCGGGCTGTGTATTTACATTTGGTAATAATCAGCCTCTGGAAACTTAACAGAATCAAACATTTGGGGACTTTTCTATACTTACCATTTGCTTGTCTCCAGCAGATATCGCGTAGGCGAAGCTCCTTTGTGTGACCTGTAGTTCGAACTTTGTCCGTGAGCGATCGTGGTTCTTTCATGGTGTGTTTTATCTCCACTGCCTGTTTCCCAGTTACTAGAGGGTCTTTACCAACATCTGATGCAGAGACAAGGAGAAACAACGTAAATAGGATGACACAAAACATAAAGTGCTGTATAAAGATCCCCTTTCATATTTTTTGTGTTGCCTTTCTTTTTTACATTTAGATGTTTCTGGTTGAACAAGTCTTAATGCAAAAAGAAATTAGGAATGAATCTATAGATTATTTTAGTAACTGATGGGTTATTTATTTGATTCATCCATCCATCCATTTTCCGTCAGGCTTATACCAAGTGGGGTCGCGAGGGGTGATCTCGAGAGGCGGGGTACACCCTGGACAGGTCGCCAGTCCATCACGGGGCAACACAGAGACAAACAGGACAAACAAACATTCACGCACACACTCACACCTAAGGAGAATTTAGAGAAGCCAGTTTAACTCAGGTTTTTGGACTGTGGGAGGAAGTCGGAGTACCCGGAGTATTTATTTGATTCATCGATTAATCTAAAAAGACATATTTATAATAAATTAATATTTTTTTAAATTTTAAAAAACCATTCGGAATAAAGAAAAAAAAAACTCATTGTGAATTTTAGATAAATTGCTAATTTACATTTCCATATAGTTATTAATATATATGTGTAATCTAATAAGTATTAAAGTATCAAATTTTTAAAATGATGATTCTATTTTTTAAAGGGAAAAATACTTTCCAAGTCAACCTGAACCTTGGTGGAAAATTAATCATCCATATTGTTCTAACAGTGATTTCTTCTGTTTTGATTATAGGCAGAGCTTTAATACATTTCTTCAATAGAAACAATTTAACAACATAAAGTAGAAAGAAAGGATTAAAATAGCAACACATCATGCTTGAATCTAATAAAATACTGGAAAAGATTAAGAAACATACACATCTGGAAAAGGTTATAAAACTATTTCCAAGGCTCTTTGTTTTCAAACCCGATGAGAATAAGAGCCATCATCAATAAACGAAGAAAACAACAGTGACATTTTGCAGGAGGGTCTTTTCTACCAAAATTTATCCAACATGGTTTTATCAACTTCCAGAAGGTCAGAAAAGAACAGCCTCTACTTAAACCACCACATTTTTAAATAGCTGTACAATAACAGCATGAATGAAAGAATTCAAATTTCACTTATCTCATTTAAATGAACAGAAAATTAAACATTGAGGATACCAAATCCTGCCAGAAAATGCTGAAAGGACAATGTGTGGCCACAAATTTAAGCTACAGAAAAGCAGCAGGACAATGATCAATTACATACCAGAAAGAAATTTCACCCCTGAATGCCTTTGCAAAAAATAAAACAAGATTTTCAAGTGACCTGTGAATCCTTCATCAACCTGAGAATGGTATGACCCTAAACAGGGACTGATGCTTAAAAAACCTCCAGCGTGGCTGGATCCAAACAAGTGTTCATCATTATTTCCCCACAACAATGTAACAGTCTCATTGCCAGCCCTCAAAACAGCTAGATGACAGTTTTTGCCATCGTTTGGTAGTTTTCTCTCTTTAATAAATCCAAAATAGCCTTTCGCATTAACTTATCTTATCATTATCTGATTTTTACGTTTTTTCATGGTCTGAAGCATTTAGCCATGACAAAAAAAACAAAATCCTGATATATATTCCCAACATTGCACAAAGGGTTCTTATATGAGCTGCTAAATTATTCACAAAGATTTTAGAGAATAGTGGATGTATTCTGTGTCTAATCATGGGACTGCATAAGTTCTGCAAACAGAAAGTGTTGGATAAGTAAGTGAAGGAGAATTTGAATCACGTGAGCAAATTTGAGGAACTGGGGATAATTTAAAATGTTATAACGTTTACAATAACTGATTTTCAAATATTTTGAAAGTTCTTTTCTGAAGAATTCACTGCATTCCAACAATGGAGACGTTTCAAAAGCAGTTAGTAACTCAAAAGACAAATGGAAAACCCGGATAAAAAAAGCTATTACAATACAAATCTACAATCTGGTTATACTAAATAAGTCCTTGAGCACTTTGACACAAACAGATTGCAATCAGCAGGGGTCATGTCTCGCATCTACTGATTTGTGAGTGACCCTTTGAGAGCGGAGGCAGGGGGGGGGAGCCGAAACGGCAAAGCAGCTGTCTCTCCCTCCGCTCTTCTCGGGTTTCTTGGTGTTCTCTCGCCAACAGTGTGAATTTCCAAAGAATGAGGTCACATGCTAATGGTACCTCGAAACTATATTTCCCCTGAGCCAATCAAAAATGACAAGCATGCTTTCAAGGCGGAAGAATTTCCTATTCTTACATCCATGATCAGTTGGAAACACAAGCAAATTGCGAGTAAACAACATTAAAATGCAATGCAGGTGCAAACTCTGATCTGACATTCACTTCATCAAAACAGATAAAAAAAACTAACAGCCGAATAGACGCCAAAAGTGTTTTCCACTATAAAGTAGTTATTTTAAACATTGGGAACTATATTTCATTGCACTAAACTGATTTGTACACAACTGATCTACCTTTTAGACCCTGTATTGGTTGTTTTATGGTGTAGTTTGTTGAAGCAGCAGCTTATTCAACAGCATGAATGGATAAGATCATCAGGAAGGCCAGCTCTGTCCTTGGATGATCCCTCAACCCATTGCATGGGATGGAAGACAGAGGGACTTTGGCTAAATAATGTCACTGTTGGACAACATTTCCGTACCACTTGGATGAAGATGCAGCAGAGCTGGAAAACTCATTAAGCAACAGACTGCTGCACCCTACATGCACCATGATGTTTTTTCCTCCCACCTCCTCTAAGACTTTTTAAACATCACTGGTCCCAACAAGCAAAATAAGTTTACATCACTTTTTTATCCTTGCAAATAAATTGTTTTGTTGTGTTTTTTTTTTTTTTTTTTTGCATAAAAACACATATACATTTAGCATATTTCACAAAACCCCCCTATTCAAATCTACACTTTTATATTTTTTATACCTCTAAGAACCTGATGCTAAAGCTGTTATTGTGTGTGTGTAAGTTGTACATTTTCTTTGATTCCCAGACATCATTTTCCATTTTATACCATTGTGTTTATCCCCCCGTTAAGGTCCTATCCCATAAAACAGAGATCTAAAATACTCACCCTCAGATACTCGCTCTAAGACGTGTGTGACCTTCTCCGCTTCGAGGATGTGCTTGTTCAGGTACTTTGTGAAGATGCCGGTGCTCTTGCCCCCATCCTGTACCTCATACGCCTCAGCATCCTCACACCTGAAAAGATTTAAAAGGGTTAAAATGATACAAAACAATATTTCCCTTTGATTTTCTTTGGATTTTACCATTTAGGGTTTAGACAAAATCTTAAATCAGAAAAAACAGATATTTATACATACGTGGCATAACCATATACTGTGTTCCCGTTTGGTCCCAGTGGCTTAATGACTGATGGGATGCAAGCCTGGTTGTACCTAGAAAAAATGTTCGGAAAGAATCCTGGTAAGCATGATTTCTTTAGTAATTAAATCTACATTTTATGTCCTCCCTAGTGGAAAATTGAAGATTATCTGTAAACTTACCATTTCCTACAGGTATCCAGTAGGATTACACTTATTGCAGTCCGTCTTTCCTGCATTTGAAGCATAACCCGCTGCACACAGACACAGTTTTTGGTTTGGTATGGCTGTGGAGCATCAACTGCAACCAAGTAATTCCTTCCAGCATGCTCATAACCATGACCAGCGTAGTAGAAAAGCCCTATCAAGAGAAAAGAGAACGGAGAAAGTAAGTTAAAATTGGAACATTCTACAGTAAAGGGTTATAGTCATGGTAGGAAAGAGGGGGGGAAAGTAAAACAGCTGGTTTCTTTTTTAGGACACAGATCATATCAGTAGGTTTTATCATTGTAATGTGCCATGACCATTTCCTTCTCGTTCCTATTTTATCATATAGACAGTTTCTAACTACTGATATATGACAGTGTTTCCTTTAATGCTGTGTAATTATAGTATAGACATACTTCCTCTTTTACAGCAGAACTACTTTTAGGCACCAAAAGGCGTCACGCGTGATTAATAAACACGCTTTTTATTTATCCTGATGGTTTTATCTCCAAAGTTCTGCACAATTTTTTTTTTTGATGCATTTATTCAGAATAAGACATCTCATCTGCTTACTGAAATACACTTAAACAATCAAAAACAACCTGAGAGTTTAGGAACTATGTAATATTGAACACAGGACGTGAAAAAAGGGGAAGCTAAAGCACCATTTCACAACAGCGAAGTGTTTTGTAGCTAACGGCACATAGCTAACTTAGTCAAAAATAGACTCACCATAAACCCCCCTGTCAAGGAGCTGAATAAAGTTTTCGATGGCAGCCATCATCTCCTCCCTGGTGAGATCCAGCAGGGAGACAACTCTGAAGCCCAGCTGCTGCAGCAGGTTGGCCAGCTCGTGGACGTCCATGACGGGGGCCATCAAACCATAGTGGTGGCGGTAATTCAAGTTGCCAATAAGAAGGGCAACCTTATCAGTGGCTGAAAACAAGAATGAGATAAAGAAGAAATTGCAGCAAAACCTTTTTTTTTTTAACTGGCATAGGAGATGGTATCTGTTTCCACTAAACTCTACCTGTTAGCGCAGCAGGAGGAGGCTGGTCAGGTTGCACTGAAAAGAAAAAAGAAAAACAAACACCAAATCAATATTTGGAGGGAAATATTTCTAAAATAAAATGCTACAACTGATGCCAGATTTGCTGCTCTCATTGCATTCATCAAAATATGTACTGAAAACAGGAGAAACAAGAGCTAGTTTCACTTCACATCACTTTCCTGCTGTGGGACTAAGCACTATTTGGAGACCAGCAACTTCCTTTTTACTCTTTAGAAATGGGAAAGTACCTCCAGTACAATGGAAAAAAAAAAAACAAAGCCTTTCGGATAAATCAGCAAAATAGAAGGAGGGTGAAGAAAACCTTGTCTTCCCTCAGTTTCCTTTTCTCAGAGATATAGCTGGTAATGCAGGAAGAAAAGGTAAAAGGGATGGAAAAACTTGTTTACGCTCCTGCTTGGGACTTACCAATATCGACATCGACCGCCTCCGTCCATCTCTCTGCCAAGACGTTAGATACCGAACACAAATAGGATCCCCCATGTTCTGATGTTACGCCGTCAATCTGCAAGATTATCAAAGCAGAATGACTTTCGTCATTTCCTCAAGCACAAATCACAGTTTTTGTCAAATATCAACCTGCTTTCCCAGATAAGTTGGTTAACATAATAAGGTTTTACAGAGAACCTGGAGTGCAATCCAAATAAATTCCTGCTATGTTGCCGTACCTCCAGCGTATCACTGGTTTTGTCGAGCAGGGGCTGTCCGTTTCTGTACCACTGGTAGTAAGGAACGGGGATGCCAAAGGCAGCGCAGCGAAGACTGAGTTTCGCTCCCGGTTGTACTGCCTGTGGTTTGGGATTTATAGCAATGTGTGGCTCGCCCTGCCAATCAACTGGCAAACCTGAAAAGAAAGAAGCAGAGATTGTAAGATGGGTGAAAAACTTATAATATCAGCAACACATAGAGGAATATAGTAAAATCATAGTACCTGATTTATCAATGTCCAGCACCTTCACCTTCACCCATTCACTAAAGACGTAGTTCTGAAAGTGGTCATTCACTCGGCACACATATAGCTGGGTTTTAGAGGCTCTGATGGTCAGGTCTGCTTGAGTACCACCAGGCACCTGAAGTACAACATAAAAAAAAAACAGATGAACTCATTGGTTAACCTCTTAGTCATTTTGCCCCTTCACTTAATTGTAAACACAAATTTTATACCATTTTGTCTCTTAGTTGCTGTGAGTTTATTTCTCTTGCTCGATGTGATTACATTTGAAATTAAAATCACACATGTAATGAATGTGTTTATTCTTTTTCAATTATTGTAAACAGCTCTGGAATTCTGTTGATTTGTTCCTGATCTATGTCCAGACCTGCAGATTGACCCTTTGGCATTTCTGACAGTGTAGTTTTGGTCATTTCATACATAACTTTCCTGGGTAAAAATGGAGCATTTAAAGCCGGATAGGTACATTTCTTTCCTGCTTTCACACTTACACCCAGACATCTAAAATAGTTTTAATGTGTTGACTCTTTTCCAACTTTCACTTGTAAGATATCTTTCTCATATTTGGTTAAATGAAAGTGTGCAATTACATAGTCTCTAAATAGTATTTTGTCTGTTGCAGATCTGTCACATTTCTGGCCCAGAAACAAAAGGTAAACAAAACAAGAGACAAGAAGGGCGTTAACAGTCTTCTAAAACATTGCACAACAATTATAAAAGGGAGGGATGATCATTTAAAGTATCAAAGCAGTGTCCATCCTACAGGTAAGAAAAGATTTGGCCCATTGTTGTTTCTAATCTACTCCCTTTCATACCTGAATAAATCTAGTACCAAACAACCAGAGCAGCAAATCAAGATCTAATCTTTCAGAAAAAGTTATTTTACCAAAATAAAAGTTGTGATTTTAAAGGTCTTTCTTTAATAAACTTTCTTACCTCCTCATCTTCAGTGAACCATTGATAGCTGAGGAACCCTTTGCCCTCAGCACGGACTCGAAGGGTCACTTTGTGGTTGACGGGCACGCACACGGATACAGGATGGCGCAAAATGACGATTTCTGAAACAAATCACGACAATCAGCTACCTGAAGGAAATAGTTCTCAACTGTAATTGTTTTCACAAGAATCACCGAAAAATGCGCGGTAGTGACAAACCTGTGATCATTATGTTACTGGATTTAGGGTTAGATCCAGTCATCTGTGCATTTTCTTCTTCTTTTATCAAACTGTAAAAACAAGTTTTTTTGCTGGTGTTTTTAATTATACACAATGTAAAGAAAAAAAGACAATCCGTCTGAATCATGCATAAAAGCGAACCTCTTATATGTTGTGAAACAAGCTGTAGTTGTATTTAAATCCTTATTATTATGGTATATACCTGCCGTTAGCCTCGGACCGGATGAACAGCACTGGGATGTCACCCAGAATGGGTTTTCAAGTCTAAAACGTCTAATATATAAACTCTTCCCTTTCCTGGAAAATAGAAAGCGCACACACATTACCGATGTAGCTCTAGTATGAGAGCAATCACAATATAAGTTAAACCTTAGATTATTTTTCTTGTGAAATATATATATTTTTGTATAGAAAAAACTATGAAGAGTTTAGCTCTTCGTTTTTCATACACAAACAAACAAACAAATAAACCAGGAACCACAGATGAGCTTTATTTTACTGAAGTCAAGCCAGGTTCCACTTCGGAAACGACCGTCAAGCCAGTGCGCACTGGCTTTTTAACAGTCACGTATACACTGTGCAGTACGGTAGCAACGCTCATTTGGACTTTTCAAAATAAAATCCACTAGTTGTTTAGTGGTTATTAACTATGAAGACAATGCAGTTCAATTAGCATATTGTCTAAGCCAAAACAAGGCTTTGTTTGGGCTACTCTATTAAGCTTGCAACTCAATGCTAATTCTGACATTTCGATTTGAAAAAGCTTCCTGAAACGTCTTCAAAGTTTGAAAAAAAAAAAATTCCAGTGGATTGTTTTTTTTGACCTTTTTAAAAGTATTAACTTTCAATATTTATAATTTATAGCCATCAGGTCTAAAACTTATTTCATTTGTGCCTCTTTGAATACAGATATATGATAATGATTTTAATGGGTTTTTTTTTTTATTATTTAGTTTTACATCGTTAATTTGTGCACTTTATTACAGAATGCCCATTTTTTAACTGAGTTTAAATGTTTTTTAAACCCAAACTTTTTGTTTCCAGTCGCTGATTTAATTTCAAGGTGATAGTACAGAACCCCTAGATGTATTTCATCAGAGGTCATTATGGTCTGATGTGGGATTTCATACTTAAAGCCTGTCAAAATCTGTGAAATTGGTCAATTTCCTCTGTGTTTTCGTGAATGTTGCTAGGAAACTCCATATTTCCAGTTGCTAATTACACTTCAGGGTGACAGTAGGAGACCCCCAGATACTTTTCATCAAAGGTCATAGAGATCAGATGTGGAATTTCAAAATTAAAGCCTCTCAAAATCTGTAAAATTGCTCACTTTTCTCTATGTTTCCGTGAATATTAACAGGTACTCCCTGCTTCAAGTTGAGTGAGATAGTAGAACACCCCCGTAGATACTTTTCACTAAAATTCATCATGGTCTGATGTTGAAATTCAAAATGAAAGTTTCCATGAATATTAATGAGAAACCCCTTGTTTCCAGTCACTGATTTAAGGTTTAGGGAGTCATTATGACATCCCTAGGTGTCATAGGTGCAAAGGTACCTACAAATATTAGTAACTAGTAATACTAGTAACTGCTAACAGTTAATAATATCCACAATTATCATGAAGAGCTGATGTGTAATTTCACAATTAAAGCATCTAAAAAAATTCTAAATTTGGTCACTTTTATCAAAGTTGCTTATTGGTATGAATGCACCATAAGGATGTTCTACTATCACCCTGAATAGAAATCAGTAGCTAAAGCAAAGTTTTGGTTTAACAGCATGTAAAACTTAAGTAAAATAAACGGGCATTCTGAAATAAAGTGCACAAATTTATCATAAAAAACACTAACTAGATAAATAAAAAACATTAAAATCATTCTCATATATCCATATGCACAGGGGAACATAAGAAAAAAATGTAGAACAGAGGGCTGTAAATTATAACGAATTCTACTTAATAAACATTAATATTTAATTTGTCAGTTTTATTTTGAAAACTCCAACCTAACGTTGCTACCATATTTCACAGTGTATCCATAACTGATTAAAAGCCTAGGGCTGGCTCCACAGTTGTTTTCTAAGTAGATGTTGGCTTGATATCAGTTTTATTTGACACTTTACGGGAAATGAGCAAGCTGGCTACTTTTCCATGCAGAACACAAACCACAGTCTAAGGTCAGAGTGACTGAGATAGTTAAAGATAAAACATAATACACTCCCTCAGCGCAAGTCAAACTCTTACTGGAATTTCAGCATAAGAGATTATTTATCTTTTAGCAGCAAATTCCAGATCCAACCAAAACAGCTTCCTTAAAAAAGTCATTAATACTCTAAGACTTAATTAAGCTATTGATGGATATTTTTATGATTTAGTGCCCTATTTCTACCACATCTAAAACCTGTTAACCTCCAATATGAGGTGCTCTCACAAAATTTAAATACCTGCAGATATGTTTTCTCTTTGGTTTAGAGAATAAAACAAATGTATACGAGTATCATCATTGCTCTTTTCATTTAAATTGTTTTAACAAAAAATTTTTTTTTAAAGATATTGTGATACTGGAAGCATAACTTTATTCCAAATATTCTACTAACAAACTTTATAAAATATTTTTTAAATGTTTTTTAATGCAATTTGAATCTTAACATAATACGATCTCTAGAACCTTAGTAGTTACAGTAAAAAAAAAAAATAATAATCTAAATGGCAAAAAAAAGAAACAGTATGACTCAGGGTGGGTTTTAACAAGATATTTGGCCTTGGACTGGGGACAGTTTTAGGCATGGCAAGTTTATTTGTATATTGTATTCAGTACATGACAACTCAAGTGCTTTACATGAATTAGAAAATAAAACACAAGAAAAAATAAAGCAGAATAAAAGAAAAACATTTGTAAAACAAAACAAAAAAGCTGGACCACAAAAAAAAAAATGCAGAATTAAAGCAAGTAAAAAAACACGATAAAAGCAGGTAGAAAATAAAATAGAACAGTTGGATTACAACCTTAAACTAATATACCTGTTTTCAGTTTAACTTCAACAGTCAAAGGAAGTTCTAAACAAATGGGGTTTTAACATTAACTTAAAAGAACTCAGGCTTTCAGCCCTTTTCAGCCCTCCAGTCTTCTGGTAGTTTATTCTAGATCAGTGGATCATGGGAACTAAATGCTGCTACTCTATGTTTGGTTCTAGTTCTGGGTGTACAGGGTAAGCTAGAATTAGAAGACCTGAGCGGTCGGGGGGGTTGATACACTGACAACAATTCTGTTACATATTTAGGTGCTGATCCATTCAGTGATTTTTCGACTAACAGAAGTATTTTAAAGTCTACTCTCTGAGCTACAGGGATCCAGTGGAAGGACTTTAGAACCAGGCTAATGTGCTCTATTGTCCTAGTTTTAGTGAGGACACAGACAGCAGCGTTTTAAATCAGCTGCAGCTGTCTGATGGAAGTTTTAGGCAAACTTATGAAGACACTGGTGCAATAATCCTACTAAAGATAAGTTAATGAATAAATTTTTCTACATCCTGCTTGTAAATTTGTCCTTTAATCCGTTTTAGTGCTATGTCCAACCACCTTTCTTATTTGCTTGAAAATGAATACAGATAGCATAACAGATTTTAACCTCAAAGTGTGATTACAGAAAAATAAGAAATCTTCTTTTTACATTGAGCAATCTTTGTATTTAGGGATGGCTACATCATCTCTTTCAATTGTTTGCATTTTTTATCATCTCAGAGTAATACATTTTTAATAATCTATTTACTTGATGGTGAAGATTCTCATTCATCCAGGTCATAGTTATTCCAAAAAAGTAAAAAAAATAAAATAAAAAAAAACACTAGACTTTGTTTCCAAGTTTGAAGACGTTTCACTTCCCATCTAGGAAGCTCTTTCAATTCAAAATGTTAGAAATAGCATTGAGTTTTTTCCTATACACTTATATGTTGAGGTTTCCATCTCATTCCATGCTCACCAAACAGTCCAGAAAAGGTATGCTTGTTGTCGTTGGCAGGCTCTTTTGTGAGACGCATGGTCCAACACAGAAGAGCGACCTCCTCAGGACAAGACCTGCGGTACATCTACAACTTATGGACCAAGTACATTCTTTTGAGGACCAGAATGTTCACATGAAGGACATGAAGGAAGCCATATATGTTAAGAAAGAAACAACAACCTAAAACAGAGGGGGTGGACGCAGGTTTCAGTTTCAAAAACCCACAATACAGCAATTGAATTTATCCCTTCGCACTATCATCCCAACCCTAACCCCTTTACAGGGAACCTTAAGACCTCACCTATTCAGCCAGGCCAACAATTCCCTTTAACGACGGCCATTTCAACGACATAGACAGGTATGGGGCATTGCAGGCTAACAAAAGAAGCCAAATGACCCCCATTCTAAAGGAATTTTGCATGCTGTATAAGAGCTTCAAACTCAACGCTATTATTTGCTATTCTCTATTTTGATTTGAAAACCCTTTCTGGATGGGAAGCCAAACATCTTCAACCTTGGAAACAAAGTCCAGCGGATTTTTCTTTAAACTTTTTTGGAAAATCCATTTACTTGTTTATATACTTATTTAGATATCTATAGCCTCAGTCCTGGTATTATCTCCTGATAAGATCATATATGGCTTTTTATGCAATGTATAAATTGGTGACTTGCAGTGCAAAAGTTGGAGGTGTTCCTTGATCCTTCACTGACCCGCTAAAAATGATTTTGATATCGACAGTTAAATCTCAGCAGCATCATTTTGAACTTAATTCCAATGATGTGACCAAATGGACATTCAATCAACTGCTTTAATTCAGCAGAGTGTGATCAAAACAATGAAATAAAATTTTTCAAAATATCGGTTTCATAAAAAAAATATATTTGATACCTTTAACAAATTTAAAATAAATAACATTTGATTTTTACTTCTTTAGTTAGTCCAAAGCCCAGTTTCGGAAAATCTGATGTTCTCCTAAACCTATTTATGGTTCTGCTATAAATAGGGCCCCACTGGCAACACATGCATGTCTATGATAGGCGGTTACAGATTTTTCTCACACACTCCGGCTCCAAAGCAACACAGACAACCTCTCAATGGTAAGATAGATATTATAACTTTCTTCATAGAGACGTTAACTTTGGCTCTGTTCTTATATAAATAAATAAGTGATGTTTTTGTTTGTTTGTGGCTTAAGAAGAACAGTTCAACTTGATAGCAGATACTATTTATATCCGACTCCAATCCAAGAGCTTTCACTGGTCAAAGGACTTTTGATCT